AAAGAGCTTCAATAGGAGAAATGTATCCCCTATATACAGTCTAAATAAGAAATAAAAAGGAAGTATTTTTTCCATATCAGAGTAGCAGAAAACAGTACAGTCCTTGCAGGAACACTTTGATACCAGTGCTGCTTATACAATAAGCTTATATAATAAATGTTCTGTTATTCAGGATATATTTGCACGTAGTAATCTGCAGACAGAAAATAAAAACCAGAGAAAGATCTTTTTCCTCAGTTGCTTTCTGAAGAAACAGAGCTACTTTTAATTGAAAAAAAAAAAAATAGGATTAAGTAGCAAGTCAAGGAAATGTAAAGGAGAAGTTTGGTTCTCCTAAGGACCATGATCACTGTTTTGCATCTGTACAGCTTTTAGATGTTTCACAGTTTTACCATGTTTCGTGTAAGTAATTTTGTCATGTATTATCACATAGTGATTATAGGGAAAATGTGTTTGATTTTTGAATGCTTCACATGTATTCTAGGCAGGTAGAAGAAAGTAAAATACAAAGGAAGAATAGATTAGAAAGGGTAACAAGTAATGAGTGATGCAGAGAGGCAGATATGCCATGAAACATTATCAAAAGCCAAACTGAATGGAATTTAAAATATTAACTTTATGTGTTTGTGACTTCTGCCTTTTTGGTACTATGTCCGTCATATTAGGACAAAACCAAAGTCAGCAAAGACACTCACACTATAATTCTTCTGTTTAAAAGCTATGGGAGTTGGGTGTATTTTTATGCTAACTAGGCAGGTGCTTTGGAGGCTTTTCAGATTTTTTTTTCTATGGTCTATTGTTGCTAAAACCTGACTTGTCAATTTATCAGTGGTTAATGAATTAGTAAGGACAGTGCTGATGGCTGGAGATGCTGACAGATTTTCTTTTGGCAACTTTTGTTCATTCCTTCTGTTTGATTCTTTCACCTTTTCATGGTTTTTAAGATAATATCTCTGTGTTTATATTTAGTATAGATCCAACTTAAAGCAGACACTGACAACTGAAGAACCACAGGACCTTTTCTTTTGTTTAGTAGTCCTCTTCAAAAACCCATTTCCACAGATAACATTTCTAACTCGAAGATTAAGTTTTTATGAAGGTCTTTGAAGGACTTCCCCAAAATAGGCCTGGGAAACAAATGTAGCATGAGTGCAGCAAGTTTCCATTTAATTCCAGCCTTCAACTTACAGCTTTATAAAGAACTACACCATTTCTGCATATGTCAAATTTTCTTATAGCAGTATTTGATTAAACTAAAAAAACCCTACATTTATGGATGATGTAACCTGTGTGATTCTGGCAGAAAAATATATATATTCACATTAATTATATACTTATTATTATATACATGCTGCATACATACATATATTAATTACAATTAATAATAATTCTCTATATAGACATATGTATGTATTGAAAGTATATTGATATCCTGATATCTATAACTGATGTAATTAAAGAGGTGCACCAATCCTACATGGATCATTGCTTACACAGAAAATTGCAGTGTTAACAGGTAGGCATGTATGGTTCCTGTTGGCAAATGCTATGTTTTTAACAGTGATTGCTGCACAAGCTTTAGGAAGTTATTTGAGAGTTTTAATTCATTAGTTTTGCTCTTGTCTGCACAAATGGAGGATGTCAGCAATCCTTACAATACCCGTAAATTGATATTCCTAGCCAGGAGAAATGCAGCATCTAATAGTTGAGTGGTAGTAAACAGTATTATTGTCAGTTTTTAAAATTTAACTTCGTGGCATATCATCCCAAATAGTCCAAAACCCTCAAAGGTGTCTCCAGAACAAGTCTCCTTGAAATGTTGTGCCTAATTTTGTTTCTAATTGATACTTCATACATTTTTTAAAGGAAAGGAAAAAAATCCACAAAGCATTATGGTACCTGTTTATTGTGTACCTCCGTTTTTTTCTCAGGGAATTGGTTCATACAATGGCCAAGCTGTTTTTAAGTCTTTATGAACTCTTGAGGCACTTACTGTCAGTTGGAGAAATTGCAAATGTTGAAGTGTAAGAAACCTTTGAGTAAATACCTCACGTAGAGGTCAGTCTGGAAAGATTAATTAGAAAGTCTATGAACACAAGACAAACATCCTCACTTCATGCTCTTTTTTCTCACTGAGCTCATACAACCTTTTTCAGCTTCTAATTTGATTTCATAGTGTTGTTCATTCTCAGGTAAAAGCTCCCAACTAGTCTGCTACCCACTAGGTCTGCATCCCAGCTGTATTCAGCTTCCCCTGGATCCTGGAAGATTTCCTGTTTTCATTGTTCAGAAACCTTAAGACGATGTAAAATTTTTCTATCACATGTGCATGATTTCCTTTGGGATTTGAATTTTTGAATTCCTACACATATAAACATTTTATTTTTCCATGTCAGCTTCTCAGTTTAGGTTTTGTGGGTTGTTTGGGGTCTGTTTTGTTTTGGTTTTTCATTTGTGTAGGCAACTTACATGTACTGCAATCCTCTTAGTGAGGCTCTTAGGAAGGCTTTAGGTCAGAAGATTATATAGCCTGATTCTAAAGCTGTTACAACATTTCTGGGCTATGCTGTAAAACTTCTGAGTGTAGTGAAAACCTCTAATATATTGAATGGGATGAGAGGGCAGTATTCAAACCTGCCCCCCTTTTCTGTTTTGGTTATGCAATGCCATTCGGTGAGGGGTATTTTTTACCATTCACAATAGAGGGAAAAAGATATTTTACACGGAGATAGGATGTTGTAAAGTTCAAGTTAAAAATCCATGACTGGATAGGTGGTATGTTATGCCTGAGACCAAGTCTCCTACAAAGGTCCTGAAGATGTTCTGGAATGCCTCAGGTAGCTTCTCTTAAGTGATTATGATGAAAAAAGGAGTGTGTGTGTGCAATAGTCTTTTCAGATTGCTTTGCCTGCAAAGGGCATTTTTGCAGTGAGGGGAGCAGGGGCTGTGTGGAGCAGGTGACTGGGGGAGCTGCAGGGTGCAGCTCTCCCCGGCTGCATCCACTGTGATTGAAGCTCAGGGGGCAGCGGCTGTGTCTGCATCCTTCCTTGACCTCATCTCAGCACCATGAGGCGGTGCAGACTGTAGCCCTAACACCTTGTCACATTGAAGTCAACAGCAGTTTTGTTACTGACTCAAGTAATCTTGTCTTTGATCAAAATACCTAGTTCCTTTCCATTTTGCTTCTCAAAACACTCTTTTTAGAATAAATAAGGTGCTGCATGTGCAACTGTGTTTACACCTTATCTACTCCAATGTGTGTAGGGACACCTGAATGCATACACATGCACAGAGGCTTCTGTATTTGTATCTCATTTTCAACTGTTTGAAAATGTTGATTCACATACTAATGTACCAAATGCATAAACCAGCATTCTAAACTGTCACCCGTAGTATATATATCTACAAAAATGCAAAATAATAAGCATTTTAGACACTTTACTACTTTCAGCTCTGACCCTATTACCACTGGGCGGTTTGTTTGGCCTGTTTCATTCACTGATTAGTTTCAGCTCCCATAAAACCCAAAAATTCACATGGCATGACAGCTTTAAAAAATTGCAAGATACTATCAGCGAGCATGATAATCCCCTTTCTTATACCCTTGACACTGTTCAGACATAGTCAGAGATACTCCTTTATATTTACCTCCCCAGCTATATTTTCATTCAAATATCTATTCACAGCTGCATAATAAGTAGCTTGATTTGTACCTAATTGTAATAATTAATTTTCATTATTTATGAAAGTCATTGTCAGAATTAATTTATGGTTCTGACTGCAAAGAAACTTGCAGCAACAGCTTCAGGTGACTGAAGGAATAAAATAATTAACCAGAGCACTTTAAAATGTCACTGACCAGTGCATCAACTCTTAATTTTTCAGGAATTATTTGCACTTCTATATTCATACTTCTGCAATTATCTTTCTTTCTCATGTATAGAATTCTGTTCTTAACATATTATGAACTTTAATTGTCTTGCTAGTGTGTTTTTAGGTTAAATGACTAATTATGGAGAAATTAGGATGCCTGTCAGATTCAGAAATTGAATGTGTATCCTGATTTGTTCTCAGAGCTGTGAAATAATTGTGGGCTAGGGTGGAAAAGTATTATAGATATGCAAAGGAGCTTGCCAAGTGTCTATATATCATAAAATGTCTTAAATCTACAGACATAAAAGTAGGACGAAGACACAGCCATTAAAAAGGCAGTCATTTTTGAGTGTCGCATAATTTAGACACTCTAAGTTATTGAAGTGTCACAAGTTTATTGCACCTAATTTATTAATACAATCATTGGGATTCACTTATGTCTCCTGCTCTGCCCCAAAACAGGCTAAAAGTATGTTGAAATGCACAGACTCTGCTTCAGCAGTAAAAGTGTAAAATGCTTCTCAAAATACAGTGACATGAAATATAACAATTTTACTGCAGTACTTGCAGGTAACAGGTGGCCATGTTTCTGTTTATTTGTGTATTAAAGTAGGGCAGAGAAATCAAATTAAAACCAGGTGAATTTTGTTCCTGTTTAGCTTTTCCATTGCCACATTAGGTGACATTTGTATGGGGAAAATAGCCTCTTGCTTTGGCCTCTAAGAAGGACCAAACCCTCCCCAAAGCCAACCAAGTAAAAATCCTGACAAATACCCTGTTAAGTGCTTTTATGCTTTGAAAAAATAATTTTTCTTTTAAAAAAGGAAAAGTTCATAATTTTTTTTTAATCCTTTAATATATTGAATTGGCTTTTCTTAGTTAGGAGGTTGGTTTGTTTATTTGCTACCCAGGATCAGTTTTGATGTGTTTAAGCATTGACAAAATACTGCTGAGGAGAGCTGGAGACAAAAGAATCCACTTGATTGTAATGCAGGTGGAGTTTTGACAAAACACCTTATGTGATATCTGAGACAATTATACACATGAAGAGTTTTTACTTTTAAATTCTTTAAAATAAAATAATTAAAACTTTCTCATCTTTTGTTATCTCTTTTTCCCCTAATCAGGACAGAATTTTACCCTAAGGCAGTTAGGAGTTTGTGAACCAGCAGCTCGTCGAGGACTGGCATTTTGTGCGGAAATGGGGCTCCCCCACAGAGGTTACTCTATCAGTGCAGGGTCAGATGCTGATACTGAAAATGAAGGAGTGATGTCTCCAGAGCATGCCATGAGACTTTGGGGCAGGGGGGTCAAATCAGGGCGCAGTTCCTGTCTGTCGAGCCGTTCCAACTCAGCCCTCACTCTGACTGATACAGAACACGAAAACAAGTCCGACAGTGAAAATGGTAAGTTCTTATACGTGCCCATATATAAATTAATGTTTATTTGCTGTTTTGGCTGACTCTCAGTAATTTTAAGTCATTAAAGAAATGGCCTTGAATTATTTACCTTCTTTGTTTTTGTTTTTTCCTCTCCTCTTACCCTAAAAGTCCCTATTCAGTATCAGTCCTAACTAATGCAAGCTTTGGGTGTGATGCTCTAGATGCAATTTTGAAAGAATTTAATCACAAAAAAAGATTAGTTCTGTATTATCTCAAGCCATGTCACCTGTAATCCTCTGTGGAACAGCTAAGTGGTGATAAAGTTGTTCCCCAGGCTAGATTGCATTGAAAAGTTTCATTGTAAACTATTCTTCCAGACATCTTGGAGAAGTTGCAGAATCTTAGAATGGATGAGTGAACTCAAAGAATAGCTTATTAATAGGGCTCATGCGATTGAAAAAGAAATTTGATTGTGCTTTAAACTTCTTAGCTGATGAGAGCAATTGGAATTGTGGTGAAGAGGGACATGTGGCCTTTGATGTGTCTGGGGGACTGGATTACTGTGCAATTAAAATCTGCAACAAAAATCTTTGCAGCTTTGTAGGATGTGGGGTATGGCCATTGTATATTAAGTCTTAGAGTTTAAATGAAAAATAGGTTAATACAATTAACTGATTCATTTTTAAAGCTTTTCAAAGCTTTTTACCTCCTCTTGAGGTGATGAACAGAATCTAATGTGGTGTTAAATGCTAAATGTACCAATCTTAACTTTTTATTTGCAGAAGATTTTCAGCTTTGCTAGAATTAAAACAATTCTTCTATTAACTTCATGACTTTCTATGTGAAAAATTCAAAAGAGGAATAAAGAAAAATGAGTAACAATGAAAATTAGTGATGGCTATTGCCTGCATGTCTACATGTCATTTTATTACTTTATTAAACCTGTCGGCCTGGCTGTACAAAAATTAGAGCAATTTTATTGCTATCCTCCGGCAGTGACTGTAACACATGGTGGGAAACAGCTATGTAGGTATGTATGTATGGAAATCCTTAAAAAATTAATGCACTTCTATTTTAAACTACAAGCAGTAAAGTTTACTCCTTCCTATTTATTATTTTAACTTCTGTTTGACAAAGCAACACCAAAGCTGTAATTTGCTTAATTCATACATATTTTTCTGCTGGTGGCTGTTTCTACATGAAGATGCCTGTGCAAAACCACTGTCTCAAATGGGACCCTCCTTTTCTCTTGGACTTAATGCTACATGGTACCTGAGCAGACAGCTCTCAATGTTCACAGGTGTCTTGTGTCATGCTTGGAAAACTTGTTTTGAGTCAGAGGCAAGTTCTGAAAGAGGAAGACAGAAGTACTTGCCTACCACCTTTAGGCAGTGGCTTTTCTGTGTGATAATGCTTGGTATTTCATCTGTAGAGCCATCCAGAATAAGTTGTTGAGCAGTCCTGTGATTTTGAAAGGTCTGTGGTAAAACAAATTCTCTTGATCCTTTTGTAAAACCCTTGGTTATCTTGAAAATATATTTTTATGTATACATCCATGCACACGCTATTTCCATAGGAAGTTGTTTCTTTATGTTTCCAAAAAGGTACTGCTGACTGCTTCAGAGGTACCATAAGTTTGGTATACTTTTCAACGAATTTTATATGTACAATTTTTTAGAAAGGAAGTTACCTGATTACAATGTGCCAAAACATCCTCCATCAGCTGCAAGTTAGAGTGTTTTGTTTTTACGTGTGTGAAAAGACTGAATATGTTAAAAAATGCATTATTCTGCAGTGGTTAAAATTATGCAAAGAATGTCTGGTCTTTGATAGAACTTCAACGAAGAGTTTAGCCACTAAAAAGGATTACAGTTGATTTATTTATTAATAGGGAGGCCAGCAGTCCAACTTAAGAATGTACTGGGACTGCTGTGAAGCTAATGAAATTTTGATGGCTTGAGAGTTCCCTAGGGTTATGAAACATCTATAACCATGGACTCTGTCATGGGTCACCGTTTCAGTGGAGATGTTAAAATGGTGAAAAGCTTAATCTTCTTTGGTATTTTTTTTCTCTGAATTTTTGTTTCCACTGAACATGGAAGACTTGGCTGAGAAATTACTTTTTACACGTTGTTGGAACTCAGTACGTTTAATGCTCACAGTAGAATAGAAAATATAATTTAAAGCCAGGAAAACGGTATCACCCTGGCAGGTGCAGGTGCTGTAATCAAAGGACTAAACTGCAGGTGCAAGTTTTGTTAATTTATGGCCTAAAGTTAACAGCTGTGCCAGTATACTGTTAAAATCTGTCAAATCTAATAAGCTTTTGCAACCAAAGTGAGAGTTACAACAAGTCCTCTGTACTGCACCCCCCTCTGCTGCATGGGAAAGATTCCTGACTGAATTTTGATATAATTGTTTTACAGGTAAATGATTTCTATGCATCATGTTTATCTGTAAGGTGGAAAAGGAGCAACTGGTGATGATGAGCAAAACACAGCATCACCAAGTCATACTCACCTAAAGGCATCAGTGTTTCAGCAATCCCACTGTTCACTCAGTGAAACTACTCACTGTTTAAATACTCCACTGCCATAATCAGGCCTTATTGGAGTTAATTGGATTTGTCAAGATGATGAGAACTTTGACTTATCCTATGGGTTTATGATCTCAGGATTAACAATTTGCTGGATGTACTTGGGATTTTCTTTCCTGCCAATGAGACAGGAAGAGAAGCTCAACTTCAAAATAACATTTCCTTTCCTTTATTGTAATTATTATATATTTGCTCTTCTGAAATAGTTGTGGATTGCATATCCCTCAGGAAGGCAAAACTTGCAATTCTGCTGCATAATTTCAATAAGCAAGAAGAAATAGTTTATTGAAAATACTAACCTTTTAGGTGTCAAGATCTTAATAGTATGTTTCTGAAATCCTAAAAAAGGGACTTAAATTTTTACATAATCTCAGAAGGTTTAGAAATTTCTTTAAACAAATAACATTGCACATGATCAAGTTGCAAAATTTTAAATACACTATGAACACACTGTGACTGCCAGCAGATATTTTAAATTTTTTTGATCAACAGAACATGTACCAAACATAGGGTTAATAGATTCTCACGTCAAAGGTTGTTTTAGGATATCGCTCAGTAACTAATTCTGAAAAGAAATATTTTCCTTTGACTTCATTCAAGTTCCATGTATGACTCTTGGCATCAAATTCTGAGAGATTTGTCATGTCAGCCTCCCTGAAGGAGGGCCTGCATCTGTTAATCTGGGCAACCAACCAGTGTCACGTACAGTAGGATGTATCAGCTGGAGCACACTGAGTATACACATGCTTTTTCAGGCTTTCTTCTACATTCTCATTGCAAGTTATTTCATAAATGCTGCATCAAGAAATTTATGTTGGTAATTGTTCTAGGAGCTGTTGCTTTGAAATACAAGCCGGCTGTCTCTTACACGCTTGCCAGTAACTTTATGTTGTTAAGCTGTTCTAAGATTACTAATGCTTGTCTTTTAAACTGGATAAATATTCCAGGAGAGTATCAGTTAGAAGTTGTAGCTAGGCTTCAAATGGCCCATTTGCTTAAAGGGTCAATATATTTTTAAGGTATCTTAGAATCCACTTCTATATTTAAATTATTTTTTAAACCCATTAAACTGCGATCCCTGACTTAATGAGACATCGGAAGGTCAATAACCAAAACATGAAAGTTAATTGAGCAAGTTATTCCAGAAGTGCAGCACCTTATTATTTATTTGTTTATTTATTTATTTATTTATTTCTCCCTCTAAAATTATATAACTCGTTTTGTTTGTGCTTTCTGTGTGTTGGCCTGAAAGTCAGGCTGTGGCAATGATTCTGACTGGAAAGGTCGCTCATATAAGACCTAAGTCTTTGGTCAGGTCTGTGTCGCCTTCTATTCCTCTGGAGGTAGAAGTGATGTGCTTCTGAAAAAGGGTGGGGCACTCCAGATACATGCATGCCACGTAGCTGACTGTCACAAAAACTACCTGGGCACACAGAAGGTGCTTCTGATGGCACTAGAATGTGGGGATTTTTTTGTTTAGTGAAAAGTTTGCACTGATTGGTGTTTGTTAGAAAAACAGACGAGATTAGGATGTAGCAGAATAAAAAGAATAAGGGGAGAGAGGGAGTTAAGTTCATGGCCTCAGGCAGTCACTCTGAATTGGTTAGATAAATGGTTTGAAACTTAGACCAATTTTTCATGGATACAGAAAAGTAGATATTGCTGGTAGAGTGTTTATTGCTGAGGGCTCCTATAAAGAGAAAATATCACTTTATTAGCTGCATGGGTACCTACTTGCTTCCTCTCCTTCAGACAGTTTCTGAAGATAGAATTCTGGTGAGCCTAATACTCTCTTCTCCTTCCAGAATGATGAATTTACTGGCATTCAGATCTCTGAAACCCAAGAAATACATTGGTAAAATACTTGTCAAGACATTTTAACCTGTTGTCTCTAACCCAGTTCATCTATAACATATAATAGAACTCTGCATTATTAAATAATGTACATAATTCAGGAACTAGTGTCACATGCTTTCACTCATTTAACATCTTTCTTTATGCTAAGGCACAAAACTTGATCTAAATGAGGCCTGTTGAATAGTAGCTGCACCTGCTAGCCAAATGCTGAGCCTACTGATCAAAACCAGCCACATAGCTGGTGAATTAATCCTCATCTTACTGCTATATCACCAATTACAATTTCTTCACTCTTTCCCACAGATTTCCATCTAGAAATTGTCTGCTTCTCATTAAGCATGCCAATATGTCTAAATCTTGCTTTGCTGCCAAAAAATGTCATAACCAGGAAATCAACCTGTTTTAGTTTTGACAGAAGTCGGCTCTGAAATAATATTTAATATTTAACTGGCATACAAATTTTTCTTTGGTTATGGAGACATGGAACAGAAATCCATAAACAAAAGTAATTATCTGGTTTTCTGAAAAATTAAAAGTTTTCTATAGTTATGCCATTTTTCAGATTTTATTA